TGTCCTGGAACTCACTATGTAGACCAGGCTGGCCTTGAACTCACAGAGATCCGCCTGCCTCTGCCTCCTGAGTGCTGGGATTAAAGGCATGCACCACCATGCCTGGCTTTTTGCTGCTTTTAAATTCCAAAGTTTACTCTTTTTTTCTTTTTTTAATGGACATCTTTTTTAAAAATATTTTATTTATTATTTTATGTGTACAAGTGTATTGCCTGCATGTACGTGAGTGCACTGGTGTTGTGCAATGCCTTGGAGGTCAGAAGAAGGCTTTGGATTCCCCTGGAACTGGAGTTAAGGACTGTTCGGAGCTGCCATGTGGGTGCCAGGAATCAAACCTGGATCTTCTGCAAGAGCAGTCAGTGCTCTTAACCGCTGAGCCATCTCTCCAGCCCCCTAAAGTCTAGGCTTTCTTTATATAGGCCTTTACTTATTTGTTTGCAATGGGGGTGGGGGATGGGAGTTGGGGGGTGGGGGCTGTGTCTCACCATGTTTCCCAGTCAGTGCTCAAACTTGTAATCTACTGTCTGAGCTTCCCAAGTAAGTGGGATTACAGGCATGTGCTACTATACTCAATTGGTCTTTATATTTGACCTCATTCCTTTATCTCTACCCTGAAAACTCCCAGAGCCTGAGGCTCTAAGCTTTGTAACTCTTCATTAGTCATAGATTAGGTAACCATCCCAGAGAGGAATCTGAGGATTTCCATAATAGGAATGAATGAACATGGACAGGAAAAGCAGTAAGTGATCCGATCTATCTGAAACTGCCTCCTGACTTTTAATTACAAAGACATTAGTCAGCTCCCACAAATGGATCCAGATATTGTACTAGTGGGGGGCCTGTACTTTTTTTTTTTTTTTTTTTGACCACCCTAAGTTCACTAGCTAGTTCATTCACTGCAGAAAGAAATGGACATTTCAAGAAATTAGACTCCAGGACCTGGTGTAGTGATGCGTACCTTTAATCCCAGCACTTGGGAGACAGAGATAGGTAAATCTCTGTGAGATTGAGGCCAGCCTGGTCTACATAGTGAGTTCCAGACCAGCTGGGACTACAAGGAGACCCTGTCTGAAAAATAATAAATTAATAAATAGACTCTGTGAAATAATGTTGATCCTACATTGTGTCTTCTCTATGTTCATTGCCACCACTGTAGATGAGTTCTCGTCATAGAACTTAGAGATCATTTAGTGCAGACTCTTCTTTCACAGATGAGAAAATTGAGTTTCAGAAAGGTAAGGTGCACAAGTCACAACATATGTTTGTAGTTGAGCCAGGACTAGAACTCAACCACTTTTCACTGTGTAAATGGTTCTAACTTAATGCCATTAGAAGCAAGGCAGATTGCAAAAATGAGTGAATTTTTTGGCAATACACAATAAGGAGTGGTGGAAACTGTAAGCCAACTGGAGAGCCCACATTTTGTCAGCTTCCACTCCACTTTAGTCCATTGTTGCTGTGGGAGCCTCTGTGCTGCCAAGGTTTTCATTATTTTTAGAAAAAGGAAAGTAGATTTTTTGTGTGAAATCTTGTTTTTAATTATTATAACAAATTTATGCATCGTTATATGAATAGAGCATATCTGTATATTATATATATTCTGATGTAGGCCAGCAATTTGAAACCTCTATGCTTCACTCTCAGGATATTTTATCTCATGTTTGGGTCCATGGTTTAATTATTGGATAAGTGAAAATAGGTTTCATTTTCCTGGCTTCTGTAGGAGCCCTTTCTGGCTTTATGCCTTCTAATATCTCTGAAAATACGAATGCAGATGTTTGCTGAGCATTTATTGTACACCAGATGCTATGGTAGACCATTTCACATGACCTTGCCAGATGTTCGTTCAAAGCTATATATACTGTCTATTTGGCTACAAATATATGGTTTGTTTAACGCTAGTATATTTTAATTATTCAAATTGAATAATATTCACCATTAGATTATGTGACATTAGGTAGCATTTGGTTGGCTGGATATCAACAGAAACAACCCCAACCAAAGGCTTGAGACCAAGTCTCATATGTGCCCAGGCTGGTCATGAACTCAAAACTCAAGATAATCCTTCAGACATAGCCTCCTGAGCAGCAAGGCTACAACAGGCCACCCTGCCCCACTCCTTGGACATTCTTTTTTTCTTTTCTTTTTTTTTTTTTAAAAAAAAAAAAGCAAATGTACCCTCTGATCTTACAATCTAGGAGCCTGCCTGAAACCAAGGTTTCTTCCCTTTCCTTTCACACCATACTTAGATTTTGTTTTGTTTTGTTTTCTTCCTGAAGTTTGACTGGGTACATTCTGTCTTTTAAGCTTTACAGTCCCATGTATACACTCAACCAGTAAATGTCTTAAAAGCCTTAAAAAAGAA